AATCAATCATAGTTTCTGATTAAAAATAAAATGGCTCACACTACTAACTTTATTAATATAATAATAATAAAAGAATAATGTATATAGTAGAAGAGTCAACTGCAAAGAAATAACAAAACATACAATTAAGATATTTACAGTGTCTGATCTTCAGCAAACTCTACCATGTTTATCTTAGTCTCACAACATGAGTTCTTTATAATGTTACAACATGACAGTAAAACTTCTCCTAAAATATCCTTTGGGATCAATAGTGCTGTAAATGCATAAACAACAGAAAAACACTTGCAGGCTGCTCTGGAGCTGGTGACATGGGTCAGTGCCTGCGAAGGGAACAAAGCACAAGTGAAGCGAGAGCAGAGGCTTCAGTCACGAATGTGGAGCCCTCTGCACTGATCACTGTGGACATTTAGGCTTATCAGAGCAATGTGCTGCCATGAGGAAGTGTGGACGAGCAGATGGAGGGGCAAAGAATGCATGCAAAAAATGCAATAAGAATTGAATCAAAATGGTAATTGAAATGGTGGCAAAAACAAAAACAAGTTATCAAGGCAAAATAATGTCCTCTGCAAAATGTAAAAAAGAAAATATCCTGGGTTCCACAGGGTCTAATATTGTACTGTTGCACTGTTGTTGTGACATCTACAAACATGTGCTAAAATGCTTGTTGTTCTTGTATTAGTCAATATTTCAGTCATGTGAACCTGCTCCATTTAATGTACAACAGAATCTCAATTGAAAAACAAACAAAACAAAAAAACCCTGCAAATTTTACCACAGAATTACTGAAACAACAACCACAAACTAGAGCCCGACCGATATATCGGTTGGCCGATATTATCGGCTGATATGGGCAACTTTGGGCATATCGGCTATCGGCCGATATGCTTGCTGATAGGGGCCGATATTTCACGTGGGCATGTTATACCTCGTTATAAAGCTTAGACTCTCTACATTCTGTTCATTTAATCCAATTTACAGACAGATAAATGTCCTAATATGTGGCTCCACATCAGTATTTATCTACGGAGTCATTTGTCTGTGTGTGTCCGTACTGTCCCTGAACACACCACAGAGTCGCGTCACTCACGTGTGTTTGTTTACACCTGCAGACACAGATCCAAACACTGAGATTATATACTTTTTACGGACAATCGGTTTGAGTCTGGATTAAAAGGACATTTATTAGTGCAGATTTGTGATGTGAGGAGGAGCCTGTGTGAGCGGTGAGTGTTGGAAATATGTCGACTCTGAAACTAGTTTTTGTCATTTGTTATGGGTTAGCTGCTGTAGCTCCCGCACATAGACAGACTGTTTTCTATTGGTCTGTACTAAAGTGACTATATTGGCCGTATATTTGCTACTGGACCTGCACTGATATGTAAATGAGCTGTGAATAGAGGTGTGAATTATGACATTTGCGCATATAATTAATTACCGCGGCGCGCACGTATTTACGGTTAAAGGCTAATAGCGCTACTTTCTTTACTAGTTATGGGTCGGTCGCGAACGAAATGACTCTTAGAGCCGGCTCTTTGAAGGGAACGACGGGAGCCTGATCCTTATTGGGAGCCGTGTTTTCTCTTTCTCTCACTTTTTTCTCTTCACGCCGCGTGCAGACTCGTGGTTTGACAGCGGCAGCGGCTAAAAACGAAACTTTGAGAAATTTGCGTGTACGTAGGATTAAAAAAAATAAAAATAAAAATAAACGAGCATATTTGACTGTAGTTTAGCATAAAATAAATAAGTCCCGGTTTAGTCATTTTTCAGTCCTGGTTTAGACCTGGTTCAGTCCTGATTCAGTCCTGCTTTAGACGTGCTTTAGTCCTGCTTGCAACAAAACAATCTGAAGAGCCACTTGGGAGCCAAAAGAACCAGCAGCTTTTAGTGAGCCGAGCCAAAAGAGCCGGTTCTCTAAAAAGAACTGGAATACCCATCACTAGTGTCTAGAATGTGATGCAAAAATGCCATTAAGTCAACCTACTGTCTGTAAATATGATGTAAAGAGGCAGAATAACAATAAATGTTGCCTAAATAAACCCAATTTAAAATCCACCAGAGCCAAACCTAAGTTTTTTAAACAATTCAACATTTACAGTGAATTTTTACATCACTAAATATATCGGTGATTATATCGGCTATCGGCAGCTCCAACTTCCATTATATTGGTTTCATATCGGCCACAGCAAAATCCATATCGGTCGGGCTCTACCACAAACAAAATCACCATTAAACATTTTGCCTTAAAATGTGCATGTATTGAGCTCATTATTTTAATTTGATTAATGCAAAAATCTATGTAATTACAAGCCAAAACTATTCTATCAGAATTTGACGAAGATAAACCATGACACAAAAATGTCCCCTAATCCATAAAAGCACTTTGAACATGTAATGGTCAAGAGGTTAAAGGTTAAACTATTTGTGTGATCCTGTGCACTTAAGGGAGCAGAGCTAAACCTGCATGTACCTTCTTATCCTCACAACAGCCTGCCCCCTTTAAAATAAACACACAAGTAAATGAACTCAAATTCCTTCTCGCTCCTCTAGGCCAGTGGTCCACAGAGGAAGGTAAACATGTCCGTGCAGTACGCTCAGATTTCCAGGATGCTGCAGGTAACAGTCGTCCTCTACAGCTCCGCGCCCACCAGCCGTATGCGGGGTAGCCCATGTCTGAACACATTTCCACTCCAGCACTAAATCCCCCCATAACACAAGGACATCCGCGAATTTGATGGCGAGATTCAAATCAGGGTCAGTGGTGCGACCTCTACCTGGCTGTGGGCTTACCTTATGTGTACAAAACAACTTTTTTTCTGAAGCCTGCATTTTGTTGAACAGAAAGACCTCCTGTTAACATGCTGTAAAGTCTGATTTCCACCCATGGGAAAAGCTCCACCATTATCTATTCAAATGATCTTTTTCAACCACTAAAATAATACAGTCTCTAAAATTCTTTGTTAAATGTAGTGATTTCAAATTCAAACAGAGCTTAGCAGTGGTAGGGTTTGTCTATGGCCATAAGCTTTGTGTAATGACTAATCTTTATCAGTTATATATAGGGGACAGGCGCAAGATGTTTCAAGAAATCCCCTCTTGAGTTACAGACATGCCCCCCCGATGAGACACCGGAAAGGATTGTAGAAATGCTGAGCGATCTTTTAGATGAAAACCATGAAGTGTCTGGGGAAGGGAAAAGTAGTGTAACTTTGTTTAAAGGGCCCATATTACACTATTTTCAGATCTGTATTATGTTGTGTCTTATCAAAAAACAGAAAACAGTCTGCTCTACCTTGTGATGTCATGTGGTAATACAGGAAGTGCTCCACTGTGTTTTTAAACTTTATACACCTTAACTAGAATCATTTCAGCCAATAGAATTGCCAATCTCTACTAAACAAAACATGAAAGAAAGTTCTTACTCAAAAATGTGTGAATGTAATAAAACACAACTCCAGGGATTTGATCGGGTAACAACATTCTAACATGGCTTAAATCTCACAAGTCAATTTTGCGTAATACAGGACCTTTAAACTGTTACATAAAGTGCAGTATATTGGTAGTACATGTCAAAGATTGTATTGCTTGTATATTTTCCATATTCATCGTAACCCTTGTAACTGACTAAACTAAACTTTTTTTTTTGCTCAAATAGATGTATAGCAATAGGGGCACTGGCAGCACCAAAGAGCTACTGTTCACAATGCACAAAAACGACCGAGTGGAGACAGCATTCACACTGACACGACTAATTACATGACAACTGTCGAAGTGAAAATCCGGGTCATTGATTTGGCTACACCGATGTAAGAGTCCGGCCTATACGCTGCATAATCCTGCTCCTCCAGAATGCGGAGGTGGACAAGGTGTAGGCTGATGTTCATTACTTTCTTCTTTTCTGCGCCAGCTGTCTTCCTCGGTCCTCAGCGCTCCCATGGAGATACTATGTATAACCTGGCTGCCAAATACAGCAGAGCACTGTGAGTTTTGTGTGTGCGTATGGGCACATGAGGCTCAGCTTATGATATGATCAGTATGACAGGAATGTACGTCCAATTCCCACATCTCTTCTCTCATAAAAAAATCACTTAAGATTACATGCCCGACACCATGTCACTGACTGTGCAGCACCACCCATAGTTCAAGGTGTCAATGTGGCTGCCCCAATATTGCATAAAAATCATCGGGAATCATTTGGGAAATAATCCACTAATAAATGTTATGCCAACAGTGAAAAATGAGATAAAAAACAGGAAGAAACTTTTAGGGAGGCAGCATGCAACTTGTCAACGCATATTTTGTACTTGCATTTTTTGTACTGTACTGCTTATTCTACTCTTTGTGCCATTTTAAACAAAGAAAGGATTTTTCTTTATGATAAAACATACCTCATTTGAGAAGCATCACTTTTTAAATTATTCCAATTATGCATGTATCGATTAAAACAATAGTATTTGCAGTCTCGCTCTAAATCAAAGTTTGACTTTGTCCCGGCAACAGTAAAGAACTTCTGGGACATTTGAACAAAGGCTGATTTGACACTGATGACTTCTGCTGTTCGCCGTATGTTTATCATCATTTCCCTTTCACAAACAGAAGCGCGGACTGAGAAAGGCCAGAGAGCTAGGGCCCGGAGCGCACCGAGGAGGGACGGGCGACACTGTGCAACAAGGACTGGAGGAGAGAGAGAGTGGCGGAGGCAATTACTAATGCGGCCGAGCAAGGCAGAAGGACAGTGAGGGAGGGATGGAGAGAGAGAGAAAAAGAGAAGGAGAGATGGAAGGAGAGAGGGCGAGTTAAGCTGCCTGCAGACACCACGCGGCTCAGAGCAGATCCAGAGTGACGGCTCGCTGATTAGTCAACTCACAGCCCCCAAGACTGTGGCCTGCACATTAAAAAGTCCTCTAAAAATCAACCGCTCACATGCCAAAAACTATTCAACACATCATAATTACAGCATCTACAAACGTCAATACCTAAAATTAGACTAGTGACAGTACCTTTAGAAGATAGACAGGGATGTTGCTGAAGTCCACAGGAAGTTTTAGGAGGAATCGGGCAGAAAACTCGCCAGTCTGGACAAACAGAAAAAAACATTGTTTTATAAGTAAAATGGCAGTGAAGAAATACCCGTATGAACTATAGAAAGCTGGTTTTAGGTCAACACAATGAATTATTAATATTGAAACTACTGACACAATAACGATAAATATATAGTATGATTAAAAGACATTTGAAACTGTAAATAGCAAACTAAAGCAATTGATACTTTGCAACTGCTCAATTTAGATGTAATCTGAGCTTTATTTTAACACAATCTCACCAGAAAGAGCTGACTTGGTTGGACTTCCAAGAGTCTCTCACACATAAAATTACAGTCACATGCGAGTGAACAATTTTTCAGTTAATCACTCTCACCTTTTTGTTGAAAATCAAACACCTAAACTGGACCATTATCCCTCTATTGATCATAGGCTCCTGAAAATGCGTTGTTTAAATCCATTTTGTATTTTTTCTTGTCTTAAACTTTTTTGTCTGTGTTTACTAATGTTTGCGTTGTGTCACCATGGTAACTGATGTACATTCTTCCAATAAAAATACATGTAGAACTCCCCCAGCATCAATAATTAGCCACATTACTTAGTCATCCCTATACAGTTCTAATCATATCGTATTACCAAAAAAGTAATGAACGATAAATCAATAGTATTTATTGCGGCAGGCCTAATTATATGTTAAGCAGTGTATTTATCAACAATATAATATTATTCATATACTTTTTGCACCTTCAGGCACACTCTGTCAGCGGCACTGTGGTGTGTGGTAAGTTTGGGGGTTGCAAAACCTTATAGGGAAATATCACAACATGCTGAAGTGCTGAGCTTTCTTCAACCTCAACAGCTTTTTAACCACAGCGGGCAGTTGTTATTTGAAAACCACAATGTTTTGCAATTTTACCATAAAATTCCATAATCTCATCTCTCTGCATTTTAGTGACATAATCTTGTAAATAACTGAAGAAAAAAGATTCAAAACAAACTATGACTTTTTTACTTGCTATTGTAATACACAAATTATTTTATTGACAAAATTACAGAAACCTTTTGATAAATACCTGGATAAATAGAGTGATATCCAGTAATTTAATCAGATCAATTTGGTCTGTTTACATATGCACAAAAAAAAATCTGATCATCAAAATTAAGTGTTGTATCTAAGAGACAAAGTAAAATGAACTTTAACCCACTCAATCTTTAACATTTTCCCTTTCATGTTAGTCTTTTGGCACACTTTTCCTTGCCAAAAACTACACAGAAATGAACAATCAGAAAGAAATCAGATTACTCACATCATGACATTTTAATAATCTGATAACTGCTGAAAATAATGATCTGATGTTTGTGCATGTAAACATAGCCAGAGAGAGGAAGCCACCTATGATTAAAGGTGCACAGTGTAACTTTTTCGTGCTGCTGCTGCTTGTTTCCATGGAAAATGGAATTTCTCTGCCTGTTTTGTGTTCCACAGTATGATAATAAAACAGCTCTACCTTACATTTAATCAATTACACATGGGTTTTATAGTTCAAAAATATCTAGAAAAACAGGTATTCTGATTGTGAATGGGTTGCCTCTCTACAGATCTGACCTGTAACTCTGGTTTGGTCTCCATGAAGGTAGCAAGGTTTAATACCATACAACCAAAACATTCCAGACGAAGCAATAATATCACCGTGGAGAAAAGCATTTGATGAATCCTCTACCAGAAAAGTTACAGAATGCATCTTTAACCACTCTGCCAGTGTGCCTATATGAACTGTATCTGACACATACCCAGCTGTTCTTGCGGCCGGCGTAGATCTCGATGCTGCGGGCATAGTTGGGGTCCTCCAGGAGGCTGTCGTATTCGAAGAGCAGCCGGGAGCTCTCGCGCAGACGCTGGCACTGGTACTGGTGGTACTGCTGGATCAGCTCCTTCACCAGCTGGAGCAGGCATTCTGGATTCCCAGCATCCCACTGGACCAAGTGCTGAGGAAGACAGACAGAAGGTAGATGGATATTTTTATTCAATTTCAACATGTTAGTACATCATTATTTTTATTAATACAACTGTAATCAAACTACCCAAGTAAACAAGCTTTGTATTTTAGCTTTTATTTGGTGGCAGATGGGTAGGGCTCCAAGGCACAAGGGCTTTCAGTGATCACATTAACACTTCAATACTTAACACTAAATTATTACAAAGTCGTTCCACCTACTGCCCATATGTGTGCTGTGAGTGGTAGCAAAGCCATAAAGCGGAGGAACACCACAGGGCAAAAATACACTTGTGAGTTAAAAATGTCACATTAACAGCATAATCCTGACAAATGGAAGTTCCCATGACAATACGAGATTGGAGGGAGAGGCTGAGCTAAAGGATGTCCTGTTTCCATAGAGTGACTTAGCATATGATGGAAAAGTACTGAGTCTACTCAGGCGCCAACGGCAAAAGATGTGGAAATTTTCACTTTAGAGCAAATTAAACACTACAAATGCTACAAATATTTCCAAGTAGCTTGAAAACAGTTGCTAATACAGCGAGTCTAACTGGTGCATGGACTCTCCCTGTATTTAATCTCACTCTAAGTATAAGCCAAATGCCACTCCACCCACTGACCAAGGCCGCTAAGGCAAATAAACATGAGGCAATCATGGCGAATGCAACCCACGATTAACAGATTCCAAAGAAACTGTCTTACAGTTTATCTAGATGAGAAAAAGAAAGAAAAAAAAAAACATAAATATTGCAGTTTGCAGCTGATATCGGAATCTATTTCACCCATCTTCTGTCACCACTGCTCTTAACAGTCTGTATTCTGAATCCTCACCAGTATATGTGCTGTACCGTATCGCAATAACACATTTTGAAGTGCAATATATTGTTAAAATAAATATAGATGATAAACGATAATACTGAAGCCAAGCCATAAGCAGAAAACTACCTCAAAAATTATTCTACATGTACAGTATTGTTAAAAAATATGAGCTGCAAAACTTCAGTAATTATTAGGTTGTATTTCTAATCGGTCATAGATGTTCATAAGTCTACGGCTTAAAACTTATAGTAGTACAGAAAAATAACCAAACTTTTCCCATGATGAATTTTGACCTCCAAAAATGTATGTTCTTTTTAAGATGTATTGAATATTAACTTGATTAACTAGTAATTATCGTGACAGGCCTAGTGCTGCTGTCCTGTCTGTCTTGTAGATGTAAGGCAAGATGTAAGAATAAACAGCTCTTTTAAGACTTGAAATGACCAGTTTAAGGATTTAATATTTAGCCAGTAAATGATTATACATTAGCCTAGCCTGATATGACCCATATTTAATGCCCTGCTCTTCCTGAACATGAAATTCTTTGGATGGGATAAACAAGAAGCTATGCAACTTTATGACATGACTGGCATTCCAAGTGATAGTGCACCACATTATGTGACCTTAACTCAATCAAACAAAGCTAAAAGTGAATACTGAGTCACTAGTGTGCACCAAGTAGGGGGATGATTCAAACTTTAAAACTCATGACGCTAAGATATCAAAAGTAGCCTTGGCTTCTGCAATGCTTCATTGTGAATGTCTACATTGTTCCCCAGCGACTCAACCCGCTCCCGCCATGTCAAAACCAGCCTGCGTATGTGTGGTGAATAGAAGTGGGGCTAAAGTGAGACGTGACCTCATCAAACTTGTCTCCCAGTGGTTACCAACAGGGATTCCCGAGACATGGGCAAATGCAAACAAGTGTAGGCATTGTCCAAAAAGCAGCAGCAGGGGAGGTGATGGCCTGGGGACTTTCAGAGTGAGCCGAAACTGAGGGGAGAGATGGTGGGAAGTGCTGCGTCAGGGCTGTGACAGAGCCCATCAGTGAAACTCCAGCGGTGGGGAAGGGGAGGGAAACGGCAACTAGGACAAAGCCAAAGAGGGCACTGGTAATTCAACTTCACTGGAAGAGAGTCAGTGTGGTCAGGTTGGCAAAGGTTCAAGAAATTGGAGATGGATTAATGAAAACTATCATAAAAGAGTGAGATCTTTAGTAGTATTTGTTGGTAGATCAAGTATGTAGCTCAATGAGGCATTTTAGTTTCAGAAAGTAAGACCCTTTTCCCCTATAGACACGTTTGATGGACGCTAATCAACTATGAAGTAACACAACTTTCAGCTTTATATGTGAAACTTTTTAACCCACAACATCACAAATACAGGATAAATCGTGGTGGAGTATAATTTTTGCTGTCTATAATTAAATAAGTTTTAAGAAACTTTCAGAAGCATCAAATTTCAGTGTGATTTGCTAATCCCTAAATATATTTTTTGTTTTTGTATACCATGTCCAGATAATATGTTAAATTGCTGGCCATCACACAATATTGTTATTAACACAATTGAGTAATATAGCGCCTTTTTGGACACCTACACATTTTATACATAATTATTACACATAAAAATAATACAAAATATGCATAATACAAAATAACTCAAAAATAAACGCTTTCCAAGTAAATATAAATCTGCTATGGAGGAAGTTTGCTGCATGTTATTACTTGAAAAGGTTTTATAGCTAATAACGGCAGAGTGCACTTGCCGTCTTCTCCCGTACTGAATGTTCTGACCACGAGTTAACAAGGTAGCAGTTGGACGCTGGAGCGGATCTCTGGTCAAATGGAGACCAAGGAAGAATGGGAAGCACTGAGCCAAAAAGCAATGTCCATGTGTTGTATATGAATGTGTGTGTGTATATGTGTGTGTGTGTGTGTGTGTGCATCTTCACAGAATTGATTTTACACGCTCTGCTGAAGACTGTGTGTGCCAAAACAAATCTATGTGCTTTTTTCATGAATTGAACAAGCCTGCACAAAAGAGAGCATATTTGAAAAAAGGAAGGGTCAAAGTCTGGGTAATTCTGGGAGCTGTCACAATAATTACTATATTGACCTATTATTCAATATATAAAAGCTGGAACAATACATTGTTGGTTCAATATTTAGTGCATGTACATCTTCCTTGTAAAAGTGAAGAGATTTTTGTTATTTTAGTTGTAATACAATAAGATCTGAGCTGACTAATTCTAGGTTCATTTTGCTATCTATTGCAGTTCAGGCCTTTGATACTATTTAAAAATGTTTTTACTGGCCTGCTTCATTGTTTTTGTGTCAGTGGCATAAAGTAGTTTCAGTATTATCGTTTTCTGTTATATTTCTCTGTAGCAATATATTTAAAATGTGTTATTGTGACAGGTATAGGGAGCTGTATAGATTGAAATAATAAAGTATATCTATATGTGCCTTGGACCAGGGAGCTTAATCCACAGGGGGCAAATATTCATAGACCCAAACAATGTGCCTTGTGTCAATCTGGGCTTCATAATCCAATTATTTGTCACAACACAGGGCTAAACCTGTGAGAAATTATTATCCAAATCTAGCTCATTAAAAAATAAAAATATACCTTTAAAAATAGATCTGGCCAATATATATTATATTGTCATAAGGATTTGATATATTAATTTAGGATAGAAGTAAAGATTCACAATTTTAGAAAGGATTTGAGGACAAAAGTAGTTTATTATTTGTATAGTATTTGTGCATTTAAGTATTTTGTTCCTCCCTTCTAGTTTTACATTTCATATTTTATTCTTTATTTAGCACATGCTGCAGGGACAAGGGCTCAAAAGACAGTGTGCACCTTCAAGAAAATCTAGAAAAATTTTACTATTTGTCTTTTGACTGTCAAACAATACAGTGCATGTCTTGCTGCATTGCGTGTGTCATTACGGGACCATCATGTCCCATAATTACAAGAATACCACAACTACACCTATTAGCTTGGCGCTATACCTGCCACAGTCAACATTACTGTGCGGAAAGAAATCCAGTGCAATCAATGAACCTTCTGTCTACTTTCAATTATCAAAGTGGATGTCTCTCAAGTGAGGCATCTGGTACTGACCATCTGTGGTTATTATGCTTCAAATATGCTTTCAGCAGCCTCAGACACAGACAGTGTTTTATTATATTAGTCCAAAAATACAAATGCATGGGACATTGACACTGGCACGTTAGGACTTCTCTGTAAATATAATGAGAAAAATTGTCCAAAGGCGGTGTTTAAGATCCTTTAAGAACAACACGTACACCTAAATTGGGCATATTCACAGTGAATAGACCCAAGTTGACAGAATTATGTCTTCCTGTGCCATCCGTCTGTACCATCTTCGATCCAATATTTATCTGAGGCCAATGAGAGAGGGGCTGGCATCTGAGAATGCAAGATAATTATATAGGCCAAGAGAAGATATTTGTTTTTACGTCTTAAAATGTGATTTTTATAGATGCTGGCAACCTGATCCAATAAATCGCTGTAGACTTGAAAGTGTGAGGCATTAAAAAACTCCCAAGTATTAAATTAATCTGTGTTAGTCGCTAATTCAAGTGTGGGCTCACACCCTGTTTCGCCCCCGGAGAGTGCCAAGTCTAAGATCATGCTAAATTGCTCTTGTCATGTGTTTAAGATACTTGGCGCTCCCAGCCGTGTGCTTTCTCACCAGGCTCGTATGGGCTGTGTCCAATGCACTGCAACTTGTTGACAGAAAAAGCACTTTTCCTCAGGAACAGTACATGGGGTTCAGTGTGTGCTTTCGTGCAGGTTAAAAATATTACATTATCAAATCTTTATCTTGGTTAAAAATAAAAACACATTTGTAATATGTGGATGTCTGCCCCACAGTCAAGCACTGCATGCTGAGCATGTCCCTGAGCAAGACACTTTACCTATCTTGCATGATGTATGACTATAAAATTAGTGGTGGTATGACACAAGGGTTATACATGACACTTTATTACTCATTGTAGTTCACCATTATTAAGGAAAGCACACGACTGAGGACGACATGACTAGTGAGTAACTTTAAGAAGCTGGAAATGCTTAGCATGCGCAGTGAGAATGTAACCTATACTTTGTGTTTATACTAAGAAAAAGGTTTTGGGTGCA